AGCTATTAGTCATTAGAAGTCAGCTTTCTCGAGCCTGAGTTTCAAGTAAAAAAATTCCAAACTTCTTCATGACGACAATATTAATTAATCTCTGGAAAGTAACTTGTGCTTCGTCCAACATATTGGCTAGACATTTCTATCACAAAGCACCATGAAATTTAGTTAAATAAAGAAATTAGTAACCGAGGATGATTCTAAAAAAAGGAAAAAAGAAAGGTATTTGTGATTTACGAGATCAGCTAGCGACCCGATATCTACGATTCAGAAAAATGTCATCAAACCAGTCAGCAGCGCGCACACGCGCAACGTTAAATTCGAATTAATTGCAAAATTAGCAATCGATCCAATACATCTGCGATTTAAAGAATACCAAATTTATTACCAGCCGCACCTACACGTAACATTAAATTCAAATCAATTACCGACTACCAGAACCAATCTAGTTACAATTAGAAAAGTAATTTCAAACACACGTCAGCAGCAAACGTACACACGTACTCGACACACAGCAGGCTAACTCATTTCCATCTATAAACTACATCGCCTAACTTCCACCTATAAAAGCGGATGGAACACGCGCGAAACTAGTTCGATCGTAACACACGTCCGACACAATAAACGAGGAAATATTCGGGTGCCATTGGATCGGGTCCATCGAAGCGGAAAACGCGAGGAGGAATTCGGTCGCGACGACGATTCGTCGAGCCGCTACACCGACGCTTGACATTTCGTCGCATCGTTCAAGATTTTCCAGATTTTCATTCGAATCTCGGTGGGGTGAGGGGGCGCGGGGAGAGGAGGAATATCGAGCTGATGTTCTTGAGAGAGGAGACGCGGCCATCGAGGGGGAATCGATGGCCACAGTCACCGCCGCCTCCAAGAGAAGCTAGAATCCATCTCGAAAATGAAATTTCCTTGAATGAGTTTCTCCTCCGAGTTTTAATCGATTCCAAATGCGAAAACCAAATGTCCCACCGGAGCGGCAAGGCAAACATTTTAACGAGCCAAGTCGGGCCGAGAATTCAAGTCGCGAGACATCGTAACCGTAACCGGGGGAAACGACTTTAATGCGAACGCCAATTAACACAGTTGGCCGAACGAGCCTGGGCCTTTGTTCGACGCGGAATCTTCCTACGAAAACGATCTCCTTTTCGAGCTAATTGTAACCCGTCGCCTAATGGGTTCTAAGTGAGAGGGATTAATTAACGAGAGAGGAGAGGATTGAATATAAATCTTTCAGCACGGGAACTTCTTCCTTTTATTTACGCTCGAACTGATTAAAGTCTGTTCGAAGTAGCGTTGGGTTCGTTCTCCTTCTTTTTTTCTGTTTTTTTTTTTTCCCTCCCTTTCTTTATTTTTCTTTCCTTTTATTTCTGTCTGTTTAGTTTAGCAGGGAAACTTGACGATTGTTGCACGATTCTTTTTTTTTCCGTTCAGTTTCAGTGGTAATTGCGAAGGGAAACTTTATTAGATATTAGAGGTGGAAGTTTCCGAGAATTTCTACGATGTTTAATGATTTGTCCGTGTATCTTTTAATACGCTTTAATCAAGTAGATTGAGAGAGGGAGTCCCTTTCTTTCATTGTGTTTTTTTTCGTTGTAAAAATACCGAGTGCAAATGAAGTGAAAAATCGATAAAAGAATAATGAATAATTAAAGCCGTTAGCAACCTGGATCAGTGTGTACGTGTACTCTTGATAACTAACCAAGTGTTAAACGTTGAAAATTAATTCTACTAATTAAAGAAACGGCAGAAGGAATAACGTATTGATAGAAGTGAACAATTGTGAGAAATACTGACTAGACGTGAAGCAATTCCTGCTACAATTTGCTTACGAGAGGAAAAGATATGGCAATTGAATTAAAAATTGGCATGATTACAACAGTGTATTAACAATATGTGTCAGTGTAACGAAATGTTTAAAAATGTAACGTATTATTAAATGAAATCTTGATTTCGTAAAAATTAAAGTAAAAAAAAAAAATCACGTATCGTAATCATATCGCTTTAATTAAATTGATTTTTCAACAAAGAAGAAAAAACTGTTGGGGAAAGCCATTGAAATTCTAGATTAAAGAAAAAGAAAAGTACAAAGTTAGCTTGTATAGACGAACAGGAAAATAAAGAATATTTTACTAATTTGTTAAAATGATGTACACAGAGACGTAGAGAAGAGAAAATGTCCAAGAGATCCTGTTAAATGGAATTTAAAGGCAAGGTATGCAGTATCCAAATAATTAAATCCACAAACACTGATTGGTTAGTGATACATAGAAATGTTCGCTTTCGATAGCTTCCGATGCTTTTTCGATTAATAAACTTTTTCCGTCGACTAGGAGTGAAATAAAAATACAAATATTGGGAATTAATTATGTATATGTAAATATTCGATCAATTCTCAATATCATACATCATTTAATATCAGCGTCACGAATTTATGATTTATTACGGTCTACGAACAATTTCAAGACACTTCGTCGAACGTTTATTGCAATTTTGTTGGAACGCGGGTCACCTCCGTTGGAAATGCGCATCATTTTTCCGAGGAATCAATTCCGAGTATGCTCGCGAGAAGGTCAACTGCGGATATTAAATAAATTTCTATTCGTTATTATTTTTACAGTGTGTCTTATATATCTTTTTTAACTATCTTTCGTTTAAATGACTGTAGCCTTGTGTTGCAGTTTCTCGACAGAAATAAAATACGTTTCGAAGAATGTTCAGTAGTCTATAAATTTTGTCATTTGCATCATGTTAACAAGATTAAGAGAATAATTTGTAATAAAGAAAAAATGATCATTATGAATTTGTTACAATACATTTGTTTATATTTTGAATTATTTATTATGTTACTTGAAAGAAGTTACTTGAAAGAACTACGTTAAGTTTGCGCATTCAGAAATTAATATTTATATTGCGCAAGAATTCACGCTGTGCACACATATACTTCATCACATGTTACACGCGAGAGCACAAAACGGCATTAATAAGAAAACTTTTGTAACTTCGCTAGTGTCCTAAATGCATATCCCCTGAAATTTTTGAGAAATAAATCCTCGTCTCGCAGACTTTAAATAAAAATACAGAATACAAAATACCTTGACATTCATTTTTAAATTACAATTTACCTCGCATTTTATTCAACTTATTTCTTACTTTCTCCCAATTATTTTAAAATTCCGCCGGAAAGTTGTCACGAAATATCACAGAGAAATCGGCTCGATCGACAAAAGGAATGTTTAACGTTTAATAAATGACGGAGGAGGACACGAATATTGTCCACAATATTTTAATTGCTGAGCGCGAACTTGGCTGAAAAATTTAGTAAATCTGAGGAGACGAGGAAACCCACGCGCGCGGAATAAACGCGGGAGTACGTTGGCGTAATCTAAAAGAGAAACGACACAATTTGAATATAATAGCACGAAATGGCGTGGCCGATGTAAATCATCGGCCATAAATCATCCGCGTTGCATTTGACACGTGTGTCCTACAAATCGCGACGTCCAGCTGTTATCTGCTTGTGTAACGTTCAAGACGCCGCGAAAATTAGATGATGCACGACAGATCGAAACGTCGAAGCAATTTGTTGGCGTTGATTTCCCAATGGTCATTATCATTCTCGCTGCCCCTTTTCACGAACAGAGAAACTTCTCGGAATTCTGATTTAACTCATCCCGGCCGTTCGTTTACGTGACGTCGTTACATCGTTTGAGCCATCGGGGAAACTGTCACTGCTAAGAGAAAATTCTGAAAATTTCATGATCCTTCGCCTTGACACGGCACAGTGGTTCTCAACTTCTCAGAGTTGGCGTTTCAAAGAAATCTCCCCCCTAAGGGGTGGGTGTTCTTGATGATTGATAAACGTAAGATGCTAGGGAAGTGGAAGAATAAAGCGAAGAATAAAATTAAGATTTATCGAAGTTATTAATACGAGTTAGGAAGATACGTGGAATTCGCCTGGTGCTAGGAGAACTGACCTAATTCGACGCTTAACGATATTACAATTCCTCCATCGTCGTGAAGTTAACTACTTGCTTGCCCTTTAGTGTGTCGCGCCTCGTTATTTTCTTTGATTATTTACGACACTTTTAAGTGCATTTCCAGTCGGATACGTTCGCGTTTCCTGATTTACGATCATTATGGTATGTGTATGGTATTATTATAAGTAAAGTCTTTACGGGAATCATTCCTAGATCTTAACATCTTGTAACATCTTCGACATACGTTATTTCATAGAATTGACAAAGTGTCAGACTTCCTTTCTAAATAAACATGATAAATTACTTTTTTTTTTTTTTTTACAAAATATTGAAATTTCCCAACACTCTAATATTCCTAGAATATTCCCTTGTAATTCTTTATAATCTTAGAATAATTGAATTTCGAAATTCCTCCTGATATCCTGCGTGAACATAAAACTCTAAACGAAACGGAAACGTCGAATTTCCCAATATCGAAACGTTTATTCAAACATCGAGTATTGAACGATATCGAAGCTTAATCGAAACGTACAAGCGAACAAATTTTTATCAAAAGTTGAACCCCTTGACAGCTGAGAACCACTGGCCTTGCCGTAACCTTCGACGATCACGTTTTATCAAATTTGATTCGTATCTTTCACCGACGAGCCATCGAACTTCCATTCGAACAACTGGGGGAAAAGAATTCAAAGAACCGTCTCTACAGCGGGGGCAGACTGAATGGAAATAAAAGAATTCGATGTTGCCCTTTGTAGCAGAACGAAGACAAGTACTCGGTGGCGAACAGCCAAGCACCGTTGCAGGCCGGCGAGGAGGAACATCCGGAACGTGGCACATGGACGGGGAAATTCGACTTTCTGTTGTCTCTACTGGGTTACAGCGTCGGCCTTGGCAATGTCTGGCGATTTCCGTACCTATGCTACTCGAACGGAGGTGGCGCTTTTCTAATACCGTTCACGGTGATGCTCATTATCGCCGGGCTGCCTCTCATGTTCATGGAGCTTTCCTTAGGTAAGCAAAGTGATATATTCAGGCCGTTTAGTTGTCATATTACTATCACATATACGAGCGTTACATTATGCTGACGCGATAGATTTTCCGTTGAGCTAATCGTTGGATGATCACGGAGATTTGTAATGTGCGGGAATATAGACGTAAATATTTATTATTGGACTTGTAGTTAGATTTCAGTACGAGTTTATTTTTCATTTTCGAGAATGCAAGTGAGAGAATATAAAAATCAGTAGTCTACTTGTATGTTTCATATTACGCGAATAGTTGCATAAATATCTGTAGTATAATAATTGCTGCGATGTAAATTAGAAATAAATGAAAGTTAAATCTTGTTGTTGTCCTGTAAAATATGTTCGTACAGTTGTACAGTTTCACATTAGCGTCATAATTCAGAATCTGACGAAAGGATAATTAAATTGTATGACTGCACAATTGGAAAATTAACGCAAGAAATCAGACGAATCGTTTCTGTCCGATTAAAAATGAATTACTGAAAGCGATAACAAAATACTAAGGGCACGTAATAATTCTCAAGTGTAAATCATTAATACAAAGAATATACATGGATGCAAAAGAGCAAATAAATTAAATTTAAATAAATTCTTGATAAATCATCAAATTAATCTACAAAGAATAATATCACATATATATACGAGTTAATAAGGAAATTGCTACACATTTTACGAAACGAAGCAAAGGAACATTTATTTCCGTTTTTAGATCCAGTCGAATATAATCTTTTCGAATTCCAAAATAAATGACGAGATAATAAATATAAATAAACCAATAAAGTAAATTGCAGCAACATACTAGTTTCATACATTCTATGAAATATGAAACGAAACGTTGAGGGAGGGTTGTTATTTCCGCTTCAAATCCGATCAAAGAAATATAGACTTGAAACGAGACACGCGAACCTTCCTCGTGTTTCGTGCTTGGAAGATGAACGGATATCTCAGTCTCGCGAAGATTAATAAAAAAGCATCTCTGTTTCAAACCCGTTCGTCTCCTATATAATTCATCAACTCAGAGATTGCCGGTAAGCAATTGTGTTTTCCAACAACTATATCGACCAATCCTATGTCGGTCGAACTCGTGTGGAGACTTTTCAACAGGGCTTTCAACAGGACCAGCTCCTCTTTTCTGTCAGAAAAATGAAAAGGAAGAAGGAGGAGAAGCGGAAAGAAAAATAAGATAAATCGAATCGAAAATATTAATATTTATTAAACATTACAAGAAGATGGATTGGGAACACTGCGAACTTCATTATCACCACGGCGACGGATAAAAGTCACGATGTTTTAATACTGAATTTATGAAATCTGTCAGAACCCGACTAATATCGGGTATTTTTTTTTTTTATTTTTGTAAACACTGAAGTCTGCTTCTATTATAAGATAAAAATATAGTAACACGTACTTATTTTCAACATATTATTTTCAAGTCAACCGAACGCTTTGAAAATATTCTACGCGGCTGTTTTTTTAATACTTACAATTAATTGCCGTTTCATTTATTAAAGAATTTGTATTATTCTCTCAATATATATAACGGATTCTAAATTTTTTCCCAATAATTTCTTCTTTACTGTTTATTTATCTTTTTATTAGTGTAAGGTCCTCAAACTTGCAAAAGATGTTTACAAAATTTATAAATTACACTTAGTGTGCTTTTTAAAAACTAGCGAATATCATTTAATCAAACCAGATAGGTACCTCACTCGTAAAATCGGCAGAAAATCAATATCTTCGATATTGTTTTACGCTTTTGCAAACATTTTTTTTTTTTTTTTACACGGATCAACATCCAATTACAAATGCTACACCTACGTGTAAATGTCGTCACACGCAAATGAAATTGCATTGCACGGTGTCTCGTTCGCGAACGCAGGGGGCTTGAAATCACAGGGAAATAGAGTTTTAGCTACGTGGTAAGAATGCAAACTTCATTCTTATCGTCGTCGTGTGCGCAAGGTCAGCTTGTTGATTTACCGAAATAGAACGATCAATGAACGATTGTTCCTCGTTACCAGGCTTACGTAACGTTATTTTTAGGCGAACCAGTGAACCGTTCGTGATATCGACCCCTGGCCCGCGGTTCGATATCCACCGTGTAAATTGCAGATGCACCGCCAGGCTTGGCACAGATGGCTCATCGATCCAGCTTTCTTCAGCTGTTTCTCTTTTGTCGTTTTTTTCTTTCTTTCTTTCTTTCTTCTTTCTCTTTTGCAATATTC